TGACTTCCCTGGAAGACCTCTCTTGAGGCAAGATATGAATGAACTCGAAGAAGTCAGACCATATACCAATAATGAGGTGAAGCAAACAATGTTCACAATTGCCCTTACCCAATCCCCTCCCCCCATACTTCCTCCCTCTTCTTCACTCTTCTGGTGGGTTTCACAATTAGATGCAGACAGGAAGCTGGTAAATGACTTTCAATGGCAAATGCTGAGAGGCTGGCTTCATGGAAATCAGTGACAAAACTCACACACTTTTCAGAAGAACCATAACTTTATCTGCACTGCAAGAGGCAGATCACAGATCATGAGTATTTTGCAATAGCATGAGACGAGCAAAACCATCATTTTGTCACTGTTTGACAAGAGATTACTTTGGAGCTACTCAACTACCTCATTCAGTTCAAGACACAAAAAGGCTGTGAGTCAGCTGAAATGATGTGCTCCCTAGTTCCTCTAATAATAAGAGCATTTGGGTATCATTTTCAAAGAAGGCCACATATTGACAGGAAGAGTTAGGCAAGGATGCTGGTAAATAGATAGCACGGTTGTTATTGAAGCCCCAACAAATGAACTGCAGTTTCAAAACAACCTTTATTCTGCTTGAAGACTTATTACAATTTTTAAAGCAACTCAAAAACAAGACACAGCTCCATCAACTCTACAGCTTTAACAAAATTTTAAGGAGGCATGTTTTCACTGTTGCCTTGTAAAGGCAATTTACAATCTGCTTTACTCTCCACCTCCTCAACGACAATTTTGAAACAAAGCAATCTTAATGTTTTAAAGACATGTAACAGAACAGAGCTTTATTTTCAAAAAACAAGAATAAAAAAAAAAAATAGCAGCATCTTGGGCAGCTAATGCAATCTCATCAGGACAAGTGCAATGTAACCTTACCAACTCCTACAGTTTAGTCTCAACTGCAGTAAACAGAACATGACTCTACATAAAATGTTGCACTTTGTAACCTTGTCCCATGGGAGGCATTATGCTTTGAGCTACCCATTTCTAAAGTGACCCTGAAAAAAACCAGTTTCAGGATTCACTTTCCCAACTTAATACCATGCATAGCAAAAGCACTGTGTGAAAATCGGCAGTTTTCCCCATTAGAAGCATCTGAATGTTTTCCCAAGCATTATTATTTCATTGCCAATTACAAGACAAAGCCATTTTTTCACTACAGAACAGTTGACACCAAATAGAAAATCTGAAGATTTGGTTTTACAGATTGCTTGACAAGATAACGGAACCATACAAACAAGCTTTTTTTTTTCTTTTTTTTTTTAAAGAAACTATCCAACAACACAGAAACTCAGTTTTCTAACTGTATCTGGAAACATGCTGCACCCACAAAGGTCTAGTGTGCATGTGTGTGTCTTTAAACAAAGTTAATGATATCACTTACTAAATTCAGCAAAATGATCATGTTCTGTGAAAATGCATCTATATTGGGAACTCTTCATACATAAACACAGCAAGTGTGTATGAGTATGCATAGATATGCATCCCCAACCTGCAAATTCATATTTCAGCTGAATTAAATCAGAAACTCTTAATTTTGCCTGTGAGTTTTGGTTCTCTTTGCAATGTCTCATGCCTTTCAAAGGCCTTGAAAAAGATATGCTGCAGTGCAGCATAACTCAGGGACTTAAAATAAAATGAAAACTTATGGAAATAAAAAAAAAAAAAGTAACAGAGTTAAGCCCATCCATTAATTATATTCGATGAAAAAAACTTTGCATCAATAGAAATACAGAAAAACACTGTGTTTCTTTAGTTATATCCCCATGTTTTTTTTTTCTGTATATAGTAGTCTGAGATCAGATCAAAACTGGAGTGAACAATATGGTACATTAAAGACAAACAACTCTGCAGTGAATAGGGCCTTTGGCAGGACTTAGCTCTGTGCATTAAGGAGGGAGAGAAATGCAGAGGCCACACAATATGTAAGTACCAAAGAAAACCCACTCATGCCAATTTGAGGGCATAAATGATCCCTGCAAATTGCACAGACCCTGTGTAGGCAGAACATCCCCTTAAGAAGCCCTAAGCATTCATCTTTAAAACATAGGGCTTATTTCTCATTGTTGCTTGTGCAAGAAAAGCAAGTGTCAAATCTGCACACACACTATTTTTTTTCTGCTACAGCCACACACAAAGAGAAGTTGCACAGCACACAGGAATGAATTATATTCCATACTGGGCTGGGCATGCTAAGGATATGGCCCACTGACATAGCAGGGATTTTCTTAATATGAGGAAAATTAGATCCAAATGCTTTAACTATGATAAAATTTCTTGACAAATGCTACGTGAAACATCAATTCAGATTACATATATTTTGCCTACAGAGTAAAAATACAATTTTGCTCTTAAAATATTTAACATTCAGAAATTAATATATGTCCAAAGAATATCTTGGATTGCTATAAGCGTTAAACTGCTGTATATTGAACTAATCTGTAACTTCAAGCCCAGTAGTATAACTGGCATGCTAGAGTAATTGTTGGTGTTTTTTGTAGTATAAACCAGTTATTTGTATAACAGATTCACATGGTCCTACAGGCCTGAAAAAGGTGTGGAATGGGAAGGGGAAGGCATGAAGACTAAACTTCTATTCAGGAAAAATATTCAGAATAATTTTCTAAGTGATGACTATCGTGAAACAATATTTGTTGGATTTTGTTTCCTGATATAAATAAGAAAATACAACTACAGGAAAGCTAAGACAATCCACCAAAAAAAATAGACCACAAAGTCAAAGTAAAATCAAAAATCTTACAGCCTCAGAACTGAAGTAACAATGTAAAAATGAAAAGATAATATGAAGATTAGTGGAGACCGGCAAATTTCTTATTATTATTTCCAATAGCTTATAAAGCATTGCATACTTTGAAATAAAACACAAGGATCTCTAACCAGAGCTATTATGAGAGAACTCCATGGGTCTCATTCTTTTGATTGTGTGTGCAACTCTCTTTAATAGTAATAGATCTTATCTTTTGCATCTTGGGGGAAGAATAATTTCATATGTTCACTTAGTCAAATCTTCTCCAAGATTTCTCTGAATGTCATTACTTTATTGATTTGCAATGTGTGAATTTCCTCAGTGGTCAGGACAATAAATAACCATTGCAAACTACTGACAGTGCACTATCTCAGGATTATGGGTAACTCTGTTTTAGTGAGATTTATGTATTTGTTTCCCTTAACTGAACCATGATTTTGTCTCTGGTGCCCTGAAATTATGGAAGTGTTCACTTTGATACTGCCTCAGCCTACAGATTTTTGAAAATACATATCATAGCCTGATCATTTTAAAAAAAGATATTTTCCAGTCTTAATTAGTTCTATATTGTATCCAAATGTTCTCTGTAGAGGTGGA